TCCGACAAAGCAGAGACTGGGCGGTGGAGAAGGACCCTGAAATAAGCTTGCTACAGAACCAGATAGGTGGAGATAACACAAAAAGGCAAACGACAACATATGTATGTTAGGGTTAGGAAAGTGTAGCAGCAGCGGAGCCAGGTGGATCTGTTGTGGAAAATCAATCTCATCAGGAAACAGGTGTGGGAAGGAGTGTGGCGTAGGTCAGCTTAGGGCGGATGCTCGTTGATATGTCTCGATCTATGAGGCTGCTGCTGCTGCAGCGGTCCTTCAGTGACCACATCAGGTCCTCCACCAGCAAAGCTCTAGATATGCTCAGCAAGCCCGCCCGAGAAAGTCGACTTGCAGGTAAGAACGTGGGCTCAGATGGCAGGTGTTATTGTTTTAGCGTGTGTATGTGGTGTCAAAATATCAGCTGCATGAAAAAAATCTGCTTTGTCATTGTAAAAAATGAAAAGATACCTTTTAAAAGTGACAAAAATATCAATAGATCAGCAGATTTGTATCTTTTAAAAGATGGGGTGTGGAGTCTGAAGATGTTTTCATTCCTATTTTTGTAACTTTGTAATTCATATCTAGAGTTTATTTTCCCTGTCGGTGCCTGCAGACGAGCAGTATTGACTTTTTTTTTTTTTTTTTTTTTTTGCCTGCGACCAGCCTTGCTGCAAATGCTTAAGGTGTGGTTTGGACCATGTTTAACTTATGAACCAGATAGCCATCCATTACACCAGAGTACCCAGCTCTCTGGTTAGCTTACCTCTTAATAATATATATCACTAAGAGCAGCAGCTGTAGGACAGAGTTAGCTACAGAAATGCTTTTTATGTTGCCTCCAGATGGCTGAGATCAAACACATCAGGCACTTTCAGAGAAGTTTGAGAAAAAAACCACCAGCCATCTTTTTGGGATGACGGATTGCAGAAGTTTGATTATGAAATTTCATCATCCTCAACACAAGTTTAAGTGTTTGTAGATCTGTATTCCATGAAGGGTACATATGTTTCCAAATGAATCCAGAATTAAATGCTCTCAGCAATGCTGGTGGCCATTTACTGTTAGCAGAAGCGAAGCAGGTCATAAATACCTATAAATACTTTGAAGTTTCAGTGTGATGTTGCTTGTCTCACTTTAACTTGATTAAGAAAATGAAGCGACCGCAATTCCAAGATCAAATATTTCCTTTTGAGTTTGTGGATGTATGTCATGCACTCCTTGTCGTGTATTTGTAAATTTATTGGTCTGTTGATTTGTTTTCATGACCACATAAAGATATAGACAACAGTTTATCTTTTTAGATGCAGGATTAGAGAGAAGATGCTGGGGTTTCAGAATGTTTACATTTCTGCAGGAATCAGAGCTTATGCAAGCCCAGCTCAGGGTAGCCTGAAGCTGTGAATCCAATATTTGCAGCCTCTTACAATTAAACAAAAGTGGGATAGACTTGTTAATGCAATTATCACGATTCCATTCACCATTCCAACAAAAGTATCTGCATTTCAGATCTACATGTTACAAAATTTATGCCTTCCTTCCTCCATTTCTTAGCTGTAAACAAGACATTTTTTTCTTATGTATTTATAGCATTGCATGTCAGTTATCAGTTCTTGTTTGGTATTTAAGCATTTACATGCTGTAAAAAAAAATGTTTATCTCCCTTAAGATCTATGGTGAATGTGAAGTTAAAGAACATATAGGGAATTATTTTAATTGTCAAAACTGGTAAGAAAAATCCCTTGACAGGTACAAACAGACCCATGATTGGTACAAAATGTCCTGTTGCAGATTTCTTAATTTTTTTTACTCCAAAAAGTCAAATATGGTACAAAGGATACAAAATTGTGACAGTTATTTTGAATAGTGCTGGTATATTATATTTTTGATTCTCCGTCTTTTCAGCACACACTTTAGGTTTATTGGCAGCTATTTAAAAAAAAAAAAACAAAACGTAGAAATCATTTTAACTTTGCCATTGTTGTTGTTCTATCCTGGTGAAATTTGCACAACATACGTGAACACCAAGACATATAGGCCTTTGAGTTTGGTTTGTGATTCATTCAGAAACATGAGTGTTTGCTTTCAAGGACTTCATGTTAGTCCTGTGCAGTTTGACTCATCCTGAAACCCAATAGCCATGTTTCCTTTCCTTGGTCTCGTCATCCCTATGATTCCATCACAAACTGAATCATGTTTACAGCCAAAGGGAGAAATATGCTCTGAGGAACTCTGAGTATGTGCACTAACAAGTCCCAGTTTCCACACCGACCTTTGTGCACTGAAAGGTGTCACAGAGATGACTTATTCACCAAACCATTGTCCTCATTCATCCTCTTTTTTTAGCCTCTTTAGGCATGGGAAATCCATAAATACATTCTCTAAGATACCACAGCTTCCTCTGCATATGTCCTACAGACAACTTTCCTAAAGGCTTGGGGTGTGTCCTTCCAGAGAGATACTAATGAGTACCTACATTATAGTGCAAAGTGATGTTTACATCCACATCTTTTGTTCAAATCAGTTTATTTTTCGCTCACCATACACCAACACATTTAGAATATCGTGCGGTTGTTGGTTTATCATGCACAGCAATAGCCTATAAGTCTAAATGTAACAAAGAACCAGGCCTGATCCACGCTGATCAACCAGAGTGCTTTAAAATGAATTTAGAGGTGAGAATGATTTGAGTGTCGGGAAGGGATAGACAGATGGATGCTTTTGATTTTTCCACACACTGCAACACTCGGTACAGGATGTTCAGAAACTGCTTACTGAATTAAGTCAGCAACACTCAGCCTGAATGCCCTCATTGCCACTTGTGCTGACAGGCTTTCCTCCCACCCCCTACTTGGTACTCCGCATGCACTAAAACCACATCTGTGACCTGAACATTGTGTAGGTCTCTGCTGAAGCCGGTAATTAGAGAAATTAGATGTTTTGGTAATCAAAGGAAAAAGTACAACTGATTTCTGAACTTTCTGCCTACTGGATATATGTTCTATTTTATCTCAATGTCTTCAGGTTAACATTTCTACAACAATAACAACAACAACGAGTATTTTATCTTTTCATAAACACTTACCTGCTTAACTGATTGTAAATATGAATAGCAACTCAGGCTGAAACGTGAGTGTTTTTAGGCATCGGGGTTTAAAGACATGCCGAGCATCAGAATGGCGAAGAAAGGTGACTTTGAACGCCACACAGACTGCTCTGATTATTTCCGAAAGTGCTGACCTACTGGGATTTTCGAACACAACTTTCTCTCAGGTATACAGAGAATGGTCCTATAAAGAGAGGAAATGTGCAGTGAGTGAGTGGCGGTTGTGTGAAGGAGAACACCTTGTTAAATTTTCTAAAAGAAAAAAGGGGGTAGCAATAAAGTAGCCAGTGAGTTCAAGTCGGAAATATTCATTGAAAAAACATGGGTTGCTCTTGTCCAATGTATATTGCTGAAGTTGAGTCTTCCTTAAGAAGAGAAAAGCAACACCTAAAAGTGTCTTGATGTCCAAGAAGCAGGGGACTTGCATGAAAATTTAGGGTAATCCCTTTGTCGGCAGCGTCTATTCATTATACTGTCAGCCAACTGGCAGTATGGGTGGCTGTAGTCTCAAGTGCTTTTTGCGACAGCGCAGATAGCCGGTGTTAGCCTCGCTTGCACTGCTTTTGAAATTGCTCAAAACAAAAACTCACACTTGTGGGTCGACATGCTAAATGTGTATTTCCAGCTGTAAATAATCCATCCTGCTACTCAATGTACAGACTTCAGCAGCAGAAAGCCATGTCTTAGTTTATGCATGGAGGACACTCTACTGCCTATCTCCGTTTCTAAGCATACCATGTTCTGTGTCCTCACTCTGCCACCTCAACCAGCTCGGCTGCCATTTAGGTAGTTGGTGAGGCAGTCACTGCTTCACAAAAAGTTTGCCGTTGTCCATATATCACCTAAGGCAATCCTTATCTTCATCTGCCAATGATTTCCTGAAGACCCCGTGTGCATGAAGCCATCCTTGAAGATGTATTTCTCATTAATTGTCAAATCAGAGTATTTTCCTCAAATTCATTTTCTGTAGATAATAAACATTTACAGCTCACTCTCTTTTTATCTGGCCGTAGCCGGATAATTGGAAAATGTTTTCGGCATGTTTTCAGGAACAAGTAGTTCCTTTTAACTCTATAACAAGTCAACACAAGTCACAACTTGTCTTCACTCAAATAACATCCTGTAGATTACACTGGCAGTGTGTTGACATCTTGCAGCCTGATGCATCTCAGAACTGAATGATTTAGCAGAAGACCCTCGAAAAACAGAGGCAGTCTTCAGTTCAGTTTGAAGAATCATTGTGGAGATCAATCTACAGCAGAAGAGACTTCAGTATGACAATCGCTCTATTGCTTAAGAACCAAAGTCAATTTGTGCATGAAAAAGTGATTATTAAGTAGCAACTCAGCTATTGTGTGTAGGTCGGGGGAGGCCCGTGAACATGTTCTGGTCTGCTCACACCCTTCTTTTGTTAAACCACACAGTTGTTATGGGTCTGTTGGGCCCTGCAGGACTATACAGCGACCCAGCAGGATCATTTCATGGTAGAAGGAGGCCAAAAGAGGAAGTCAGAAGGGGCACACCGTTGTGACATCAGCAGAGGTCTCAGGGAAAGAATAACACAGCAAGCAATATGTGACAAATAACCCGAAAGAATATGATTTCACAGCAAGACTTTAGGTTTGAGCCACTGCTTCAGTTTGTCAAGAGAAGAATCTGTATTATGAAATTTGTTCTGCTGGTCCTATAAAATCTTGAAACACAAAACCAGGATTGGTGAATTACTTTGCCGCTATTAACAGAAAAAAATATTATTTTTTTATTCAACTGGACTGAAAGGTGGAAGGTTTTGTCCCCAGTTAGGTGACCTTTTGGTTGGTAGCTCTGCATAAGTTCACCACTTTGTCAGTGAGTGATCATTGAACATGCAAATACAAAACAGAATCAAAGTGCACTGTTGTATGTGGTGGTTTTATTAGAGGAAAATAACATCTTAAAGTGATACATTTTTTAAAAACATCAAATAATGTCCAGGTTTTAACCATGTAACCCAAACTATCGCCCTTAGCCACAAAGAAATGGGTTAGGGTTTTCAACAGTATTCTGAAAATGACCAAGGACCAAACCCAATGAAGCCAATTTTATGTTGCCATGGACAGAAAGAGAGCCTAGCCAGAAAAAAAGCACCTCCTTCAAAACTGATGCCTTCAAGTTAGACTGGAACTGTTAGCCATCCATATAGGGAATCCAAATATGTTCTGGGAGAAAAATTTAATGCGATGAGGTGAAGACAAGGATTGTAAGAAGTGTGTTTGGAGAGGTTTAAGTAATACTCTCAACCTAAGAACAATGTACCAACTTTTAAGTGTAGCAGTGTGAGCAAAACACATCAAAGCAGCCTTTGAAAGGAATAAAAATATCAAAATCCATCATTGAAAGTCAAAGTGAACATGGTATTCATGCCCATGATGACTGTATGTAATGGGAGAAGCACAAATTAGTTAGAAATTACTCAAGCTAACTGCTAGTCAGAATGGGGCTATAGCTTCGAAATGAGCTTCTGGTTCTTAAAACCACTCCAGTTGAAACCACTGCATAAATATTCCAGATGACTTGCTATTTTGCAAATGCTTTGCCATCACATTTGGCCCTTGTGAATGTCAGTCAGGTCCTCGTGTGGCATCCATTTCCTCTTTAAAGCACATCAACTCTCACATCCGCATGTTCAGCCCATTTCGTCCCTTCAGTTGTCACTGCAATTATCAATCAATCAATCAATCAAATTTTATTTGTATAGCACATTTCAGCAACAAGGCATTTCAAAGTGCTTTACATAATTAAAATAAAAACAGCATGTGACATTGAAAAAACAGTGAGAAAGAGAAAGACATTTTGAAAAAGATTAAAAAAGATAAAAACATTAAAACCCGCACCGCAATTAGATGAGCAGCGTTACATCAAACTTCAGCGATCTGACTTGTGGTCATTTTTCTTGTTTCTCGTAACATTTTACATGATTCTCTCTTCAGAAAAGCTTGTGATGTTTCTCCAAGGCACCAGCTCCCCTCTTGGAGAGTCACGTTTCAGGATGCTTTGACATTTAGGTCGAGTTTGTCTAAAAATAGTACACCTCTTTATTATTTTACCAAATGCTCCATCGTCTCTTCCACGGCGCCTGCACCACATCCCAGTCATGAGGTTTTGAACAAGTAGGCCAAGAGCATCTTTTGCTTGTCTGTCGACTCAGTTTGTGCCAGAGATTTTTATTAAAGCACTTGTGCGTCTCAGCAGGGAAGTGTGTTGCATTTGAATGGTTGAAAAGAGATTTTAAAGCACCGTGTCTTTGTGAGTGTACAAGCGTATAATAATTCGAAGGATATCAAAAAGCATACACGAATACACCTATTAGACGTAATATTGCGCAATTGAATTTTAAATATCGCTATTTTAGCTGTAATAATGGGCAAATTAGTTGGCTTCAGAATAGCTCAGCTGTAATGTTTGAGACCAAATATTGAGTCAAATAGAACCTCTGAAAGTTGGACTGGAGCAGAAAAATAAAATTACTCTTTAAAAGTCACAGAACATATCTGAAAAAAAAAAGGGATAATCAACATGCCTGGTGCATTGGCAGTGTTTTATGTTACCTGTTAACACTTGACATCCTAATAAAATGTTGACCTTTTATCACCTGCTTCACAAGATGCTAAACTCTCAATGCCATTAGTGGCATGTTATCTCTCTTTATCACATCGATGTGGTACACCTTTTAACCGAAATTTGCAGTTTAACTGGTAGTCGTTTAACTTGACATGCAGGTAAAACTCTTGAGATATTTATGACAGAGTTAGAGTCCTGCAGCTCTGCTCCTGTTGGGTGATTTAAAGCCCTCTTGTGTCTGTCTCACAAGGCCACTTGTTTCAAAGACTCAGGAATGTTTTGCTAAACTCAGTGACTCCAACAAGCTTGAGCCAAACTTGTTTGCTTTGCTTGCTGCAAAGCGCTCCCTCTCCTCTCGTCTTTCTGCACTTTCTCTTGTCGGAGCGCTGGGTTGCTTTCGGACTCATGACCTAAAAGATCCATCTGTTTTTTATTGATAGGTGTCTCATTTCGTTCTCGTCTCATTTAATGAAAACGAAAATCACGGGAGACATTTTTTAAGCTGAAAGAATGAAAGTCATGTGAACCAAATCCTTTATTTTTTTTTTTGGAGTAACACAACTCACAATTAAGAATATGTTTTGGTTAATATCTTTCAGCCAAATCCATGAAAATGCAGTGTTTAACTGGAGTTTTGGTCTGTTTTTTATTGACAAAACGGTTAAGAGCCCTTCTCTATAATTTCTTTTTGAAACATAGGAGGATGTCAGCCACTTTTCAGCAGGATTGCGCAGTAGCCCTCTTGACTTCCTCTTGTTCCCTTCACAGTGCATGCTTCACTTCTCCAGTCCCCCTCACTTGACTTACTCAGTGACCCAAACAGCAGAATAAAAACCCAACTCAGAACAAGGAATCTCTTTATTGCAAGAGTCTACTGACATTGTGTGCTGATGGAGAGTAGATTCTTGCAGTGCCAACATTCACAGGACTCCAGATTTAGCAATCCAAAAACGCTGTTCCAAATATTTAGGCAAATTATCGATTTCTCTGCAGTCTCAATACTCACTTCATGCTGCAGTTTTTCAGAGTGGTCCACTCAGACTCTTGCTTCATTCGTCAGCAGAAAGTTATGAGAACTGTGTGGAGCAGTGCTGTTTTGTAGACAGGGCTGTCTTTATTAGTTTGAATCACTGTGGAGAGGCTGCGTCTCCAGCTTTAATCAATACTGCAAGGATGCTTTTATTAGAGGAAAGTCATGCGTTGTCGACTAAGGGACCCTGGAGGGATAAGGCACATGAGTGGGGAATGTAGAGCAAACAGTTAAAAAGAAAAGCAATAACATCTTGTGCTGCCCGAAAACAAAGTAAAACTGTGTGAAAAGAATACAAAGCTTGATTGTGATTAATATTTTCTGGAAAATGTGTGACCAGTTTGTGTCTTAGTGATTACCTAGGATTGTGTGTGTTTTTTTTTGTGTGTGTTTTTTTGTTTTGTTTTTTTCAGGAAATCAAACATAGTAATAGAGGCCACTTCTGGGAAAAAAATAAATAAAATAGTTGAGTTTTCAGAAGCCCTCATTTACAATTCTTATGGTAAATGTGTTTGATCATACCGATGGAATGTGTTTTTGATTAAAATGCAGAGTACAAAGATGCAGTGTGACAATTGAAAGTGTCAAAAATGAGTGAGCACATTTGCACACACTTAAGCTGTTTTCAGATGTTTTGAACACAGTTGGAAGAACAGATCAGGTGAAAGAAGACCAAGAAGTGGCATGCTTATGTTCACATGAATGGCACACAGTTATCACATTGTAACTATGTTTCTACAGCTCTGAGGTTTTCCTGATGGTCAGTATGCAAGTCTGTCGGTATGCAGTGGTTTGCAAAAGTCTTCTTACCCCCTGAACTTTCTCCTACTTTTTGATGTTACATCTGCAACAGCTGTACTTTTTTTTAAAGGGATTTTGGAAAGTAGACCCTAATTATGAAGTAGAAGAAAAATAATACGCAATTTAAAAATGCTTCATAGGCAATACTTTGCAGAACTATCTTTTGTTGCAGTTACAACTGCACAACTTTTGAGGTACGTATTTACCAGGTTTACACATGTAGAAAGTGAAATTTTTTGCTCATTCTTCTTTCCAACGTAGCTGAAACTCAGTCAGAATCAACACATCAATTAAGTTTTGTGTGAGACTTTTGATTGGACTTTGACCGGTCCATCTGAACACATGAATTGATATGTTTGAATATATTTTTGTAGCCTATTAAATTAAATTCTAATAAAATACCTTGCAATAAGGTTTGTGGCTGTAACTTGATAAAATGCGATAAAAAAAATTCTAGGGGTGTGAATCTTTTTTGGGGGGATTAAGAGGACAAGGCCAGTGTTTGTATTGATAAAAGCATAGCCTACAATGATGAGGCTTGGGTAGAGTGACTCGTCACTCATCATTAGCTGTTAAACAAGCGCATTTTGACACAATCTGTTCCAGATGGGTACTTAAGCCAAGTTTTAGAGCCCCATTAAAACATCCTCATCTTTGGGGACTTAACTGCCTCTCTGGGTTCCTGATCTCATGGTCTGTTGTTTGTTTACTCTCCGGTGGGCCTTCATTTCCTGGATGTCTGCTCATTTTAGCATGGCGAAGCAGTCTCAGTGGGTCAGCCATTTTTAATTAACTGAGTTAGTCTACTGGAGATGACAGGCTTAATCCTTAGGGTGATGTTTTTGAGCACACAAATATATTAGTGAAAAGTAGCATGTAAACAACGATGGCATCCTGGTATTCCACAAACTGATTTAAAACACATCACCTTCATGCTCTTTCAATATTTATTGCATACATTCACTATATTCTCAAAAACTATGTATTTCCTTTCCTTAAATGTTGTCAGAAAAGTTTAAATATTTGTTTGAACCTAAAGAAATAGTCAAATGTGACGACAGGATATGGATTTTGGTTCTTTGCGAAAAATCGGCCGATTCTGCTCATAGTGCTTACAGTTTGTCTTTAAAATTCAACTCAAACTGCTCGTTAAATACACTGATGCTGAATAGCAGCCTCATGACTCAACTTCAACTTCCTGGCAACTGAGGTAATATTCTACAGTAACAACACCTGGATGACACCACTAGTTGGTTAGGAAGGCATGTGTGTATAAATAGGGCTACAAGCAAAAAAAGTACAATGGACCCCCAGTATTTGCAGGAGTTGGGAACCACAGCCACCTGCGAATCACCAAAATTCACAAATACTTGGTACCCCCTCAAAAAACCCTATAACTCCCTACTATAACAGTTCAAACACAAAACATACCTCAGCTCAACAGGACAATGGCCATATTTTCATTCCTTGGTGGACTTGTTTACTCAGTCATTATGAGACTTTGAACTGCAGTAGAAACACCAACATGCACCAAAGATCACCTGCTACTACCTTCATAATGCAGCCGTGATGTTTCCCAACATCCCTTTCGCTTTCCGACTTATTGGGTTCTCTTCACTGCAGACCCCACACTGCACATTGAACATAATCTCCTCTTTTGACTGATCAGTCGATAATTGTTCATATAGCCTTCAGAATAAAAGAGGTGTTGGGAGTGACCCTTCACCTTGCAGTCACTCTGGGATGCTAACCCCTTTGGCGCTCTGAATGGGTGGATGCAAGGCCACTGGCTGAGTGTGGCCTTGTATCCACACTGGGACTGGGACACAGAGTGTTGCCACACTCTGTGTCCCAGTCAGCCTCTAATTTAGCTCCTTGCAGGGAGAATAATAGAAGCGCTGGGGCACTTAGCACTAGCTTGTAGGCAAAGTGACACTTTGACAACTTAATGTGTTTTTTTTTTGCATGTGTGGGTGAGGTCAGGGTCAGCGAACTTTATACAGGGCCAGCATTAATTAGTCTAAGTGCTCTGACACATCACACATTTTCCATTTGCTACCTGAAACATCATGTTGCATGACAAAGTTGCAATAGATCAAAACTGTACTTCAAAACAGCCTTTAGACAGTTTATGACATCTTTCCTCTTTTCAGATAGTGTCCATTAAAACCCTAATGATGAGTAAACATGTTGGGTCCTTCACTCCCTTTGACTTTCTGTCTGCAGGGTCAACATAGCTGCCAAATGTAACACTTAATATAA